GATTCAGTATTGGCAATAACCAGCTAATCCTAGAAAGTCTAAGCTGTCTTTTAGTCTTAAGGAAAGGGAAATTGATACTTTCAGAGGATGAAGTGTTTCCTTCCAGGAAGACTTGTCTTAGGCACTTGATAGCTATTAATTACTTACTCCCCCACCCCCCAGTACTGACAAAAGAACTCAGTCCCCCCACAACTATCACATGCTAGGAACATGTTCTACCACTGAATACCCCCAGCCCAGTTCATTGCATTTTGTGTGTAGAGATATCATGTCCCTGTGGGCAAGAGTTTGGAGTAAATATTGAGTGTGGACAATCATCATTGAGCTGGGGATAAGGTCACCTACCTACTGAATTCAGGTAATATTGGGCATCCAACAGTTCTGGAGGTGACTGGTAAGATGAAGTTCCTCAGATGAGGCCTGCCTGAGTCACAAGTGAATGAGATTCAACAGTAGAGAAGAAAGGCAGAGTACAACATGGGTTATGCCGGACCACTCCCCATTCCAGATCCCAACATCTCCCCAGGTGCTGCATGGTAATCTGAGAAAGGGAGGAGATTGGGGCAAAGGACAGGTAGATAGTGAATGACCAGGTTTGATTATTAAAGAAAAGGAAATGGGTCCCTTACACCTCCATCCAGCACTTTCACAGCTCAACCAATTGCTAACACCTCTGGGGATTATCTTCTCACAACACAAGGTATGCTAATGATTACCCCCTAGGCTGCTCTTTTCCTGCCCTTGGGCACTTATGGAGAGGAGACAGGGAGAGGAAATCTAAGATTTGTTAATAGGCAAGACATATCCACTCCCCTGCATACCCAACTCTGGCTCAAACTTCTCTGCAGAGAAGTCTGCTCTCTGTGTTCTGTCACTTTCTTAAATAAAACTTGCCTTCTAAACTTGCCTCGGTGTTTCTTGGTGTCTAATCTTCAAACAACTGGGGAGTGAGGACCTGATCCTGATTTCCAAACTACTATCAACATGATACACAATAAAGCTGTGGGAAACCTACCAAAAGAGCTTGACACAATAGAGAACTTGTTGTTATTGTTTTATTAAGTGGAGAGAAAGCTGTACAAGTTTTGTTTTTAATTTTATAATGATTCTCCTGAACTTCATAGAGGCCATACTATACCCCTGGGTTCAATCCCCAGTACTCAATAAATATAAAGTAAAGCCCAGTAAGTAAAAACTTTGACAGCTAACATCTAACATGACAATGAAAAAGTAGAGGGAAGAGGTCAGGAAGGTCAGCAGGTAAACAGCTATCAATCCAGACAGGGAACACACAAAAGGGAGCAAAGAATTCTTCCTGGGGAAGGATAGAAAAGGCTCTACTGAGGTGACAATTGGGAAGGACCAACAATAAGCAAAGACAAGACTTTGAGCAGAGGAAACATTAAGAGCCAAGGTTCATAGCATAAAGTATCCGCCATCCCTTTCTGTCTTCTATGTCTTGTGTGGAAAGGAAGAATTTTCAAAAGGCGGATGTGCCTTGGAGTAAAGGTGGAATCAGGAGTCCTGCCATGTGAGGATGGAAAAACAGGTTGGGCCTGGGTATGAAAGGTCTTGGGTGCCAATTTACAATTTACCCTGGGTGCAGTACTACCATCTTGAAAATTAGAGACGGGAATCTTGCCATAAGATGATTCTGGCAGTGGGGAAGAGGTGGGGAAAAGAAGGAACAATGGGAAGGCTGCAGTCCAAGAGGAAGCTATTGCTGTAGATTGCATGARAGGAGATTAGAAATGGATCAGGTTCAGACATTTCAAGGTAGGACTGATAAAATCTGGGGTCATCATTCCTATGGCCTGCAGAATGGGTTCTAATAGGAGCATTGTGTTGGTGTGCAGTGCACAGCTCTTCTTGATAAATGAGCCAAGTTTAGTCTGATTCTGTCATTTATTCTCTGTGATTCTGAACAAAGAATATAAAATGATTATAATGCCATTTACCACTATTTTTTGAAAATCAAATATGCAACTATGTGAATCTAATATGGTGTCTTGCACAAAATAAGTAATACTTAACCTTTTAGTGCCCTTCAGCTGGTGTTCAAGACCTGCTATAATATAACATGGATTTTTCTGGGCAATTGACTCACTCTTCCTGAACCAAGCTCTTCCTTCCAATAATGCAGGTTTTTACAATTTCTCAAACATCTTTTATTTTTTCTCATCTCTAAATTTTTGTTCGTGCTACTTCTTTTTTTGAAATACCCTTCCTTCCTGTCTCATCCCTGCATAGGAAAGTTAATTCTACTTACAGACTGCTTCAAATAGTACCTCCTTTACGAGTCCTCAATTACAACAGGTAGCAATCATTCTCCCAAAAAACTTCACTGGAATTACTTTGATGGTCTCTACAACATGCTATGCTGCACTTGATTTGGCTATTTTGGATATGTTTTCTCTCTCCTCTGTAGCATCTGGTTGATTTTTCTATTCATTCTATCACTTAATTCAAGGTACGGTATTATCAAAAGTAGATGTATAATAAATTAATATTCTTGACTCGGATGATAAGAAGAAAGCAATCATCAAGTGCAAATCATCGTGGGAGTGGGGGGAGGATGTTATATGTCCTTGCTAATTAGAAAATTAGTGGCAGTGTGCCCCTGGCAAACTTAATTTTATGGCCTTTATTTCTAGATCCACTTTTGTAATAAAAGATGTTTGAGAAATTGTACTGCACCACCTAAGTATGGCAAAATTCATCATATAGGGCCTGGAAGGAGGGTTTTAAATATCTTCTTTGTTGTCTGAGCTTTTTATATATAATCCAGATATTTTAAATCTAAAGTCTTAATTTAGGTGAGTGGAAAAGAATATTTCCAATAGAATTTTAATGCTATTTCTGTAATACAAATCTGGCTTGACAAATAATATCATAATCTAGGCTATATAGCAGATTATTTCAAAATTAAATTATCTGGGCTGGGGAAATAGCTCTGTGGTAAAATGCTTGCCTAGCATGTGTGAAGCCCTGGGTTCAATCCGCAGTACCATAATAAATAAATAAATAAATAAATAAATAAATAAATAAATAAATAAATAAATAAATAAAAATTGAAATTAAATACTCCCCCCCAAGTGTTGGGTATTGAACTCAAAGACTCCTGCATGCTAGTCAATTGCTCTACCACCCACCCTCATCTCCAATCCTAAATTGTCTATCTTCTACCTTGTGCTTGATTTTGTTGTGAACCTGAAACTGCTCTGAAAATATAGTCTATTGAAGAAATCAAATTACCTGATTAAGTGACTTAGGTAATTGCAGGCTGGTTTTTCCTGCTGCTTAGTCTTCCCATAATGCCTTGTGCTGTACATAAAGGACTACTAATTAATTTCATAAAGTTAAGCCATGCATACTAAATAAGTCAAAACCTTTCTTGAATGGGGGGGCTTTTATTTATTTATTTATTTACTTATTTCTGTTTATGAGAATGTATTTATTCACCATGTTCGTCAATACTACTTAATTTGTGTATATGATGTGATATTATTTCACATCATCTAATTTCTAAAAATTTTGCGTTTTATGATTATTGAATACTTAGATTTTTTTTAATTTAAAGTGGCCTTTCAAAAGTAACTTGCCTGCTTTTTTTTTAGAATTTTTATTTATTTATTTATTTTTTACCATACAATTTATTTTTATTTTTTTTTAGTCATACATGACAGCAGAATGTATTTTGACATATAATACATACATGGAATGTACATACATCAATCATAATGTCTATTCTATTCTGCTAGTGGGGGGACTTTTAATTCATTTGTTTTTAGTTCTTTTGCTTTGAGTTTTAACTTCTTAAATGTTCATGGCTTAGCTTTATGAAATTGGTCCTTATTTATAACAAAAGATATTATGGGAAGATCACGAAGCAGGAAAAATCAGCCTGCAATTAAAACTTAATTAGATATCAGAAAAACTGACATTTAAATACTGGACAACTGGAGGTAGTTTTTCTTAAAATTTTGTGAAAGAAAAAGCAGCTGAAAAAATTGCCCTATGTTTGTATTTTCAAATGGAAACAAAAAAGACTCTACATACCATGGTTTATGTGAAAGATGTTTAATTTTTTGAATAATATTAAATAAATTATTGTGCAGTTCAGTAATACAATAAGCACATATGGAGTTGACCTTTTTAAAGGCACTTCTGGTACAATCACAGTAAAGTAACACAGTAAATTATCGCACAGTAATTTACCTTGGCACCTTATAATATGCTCTGCTCATTTCATATTGTTCTTCAATGTTCTTCAGAATATTGCTTCATTTTATAAACATTTCAAAGACCCATCTTAAAATGTACCAATATCAATTGAGTTATTTTTATTTACTATTGATTATATCACTGATGAATCATATTTAGAAGACATTTTTAAGTGTTCTTTGTTCATGTGCTAAACTACTCATCCTTCACAATCATATGAAAGTGCTTTAAATAGCCAAATGTAAAGGCAGTGGAACCTGTGATATAAATCACCTAGGAATAACAGTTGTATAAGCTACAGATGTCTGTTACTTCTATTATTTATTCTTTTAAGTGATTTTTATATTATTATTTTTAATTATATAATTTTGAGTTACATAATTTTACAAAGAACACTTTACATTTTTTTAAGAAAACAGGCAGGATCTAATTTTTTTACAAAAATATAATGATGTAGTGTTAATTTCCTGATGCTAAATTAAAATCAAACACGTTCTCTAAAGAACATTTGCAGTTACTATCAGGTTTATCATAGATACATATAAGAGAACATAAATATCAGCTCATCTGATTAGACTAATTTTCTTATAAAGAAAAACACCTTTGCACAAAGAAAAATATCTTTGCACAAAGATACAAATGTATGATTAAGGTTGTATGATTAAGGTTGAAACCCAACTATCTGAACAAAAATGCTCAACAAATTTTGTGCATATATTCTTTCATTTTTAAGTTTTGAATAAAATTAATTTCAAAATAATAAGTATAAAAGTTATGACATAAAAGCTATGTTGAATATGAGGGATAAGATTATATCTTTATTGATAACTAAAATACTCTTTGACATAAACTAGAATATAAACAGCACATCCCAACTACAAATTTTTTAAGTAAATATAAATTATGAGATTTAGAATATCTTGATATAATAGTAAATCTAAATTGTTTTATGAATAACCTGAAAAATACTATATGTAATTGATAATGATTTTTAAAATATAAACACTTCCTTTTCTTTGTGTAGTTCTATTGATTATTCAACTAGAAATTGTTCCTATAAAAGACAATTAAACATTACTCACTCTCCAAATATCTGTGTAGTCATGATAAGAATAACCATGAACAGAGGTCAAAATTATATTTTTTATTTATTTGAGAATAAATTGAAAGCCAACTGTGCCTGAAATATTTTATAAATATGTTTCAATTATATCAATATCAGTAATTTCCTGGAGACCTATAGATGCTAAATAGAATAATATGGCATAAAAATTCTTCAGTCAAAAGTTTCTAATGTGCAAATATGCTAAATAGAATTTCCCTGAGATGAGCCATCAGATGGCCCATAGAAATAGCCATAAAGCTGTATTGAGATTTTATTCTGAATTATAATTTAATCGGGCACCAAAAATCAGTGTTAATAGGTTTCCACCATCAGTTGATTTGTATAGTATTTCTTTTCACTGGACTATTTATAAATCTAGTACCAAACAAATGTAATCAGAAAATTTGTTTAAAATTAAACTTTCCAGAAACATACAAAAATACATATGAACAGTCACTTGAGAAATGTGTAAGAATCAGCAGTCTCTTCTGTGCCTTTCAAATATACCAACATTTAATTACTTCAAAGTTTTTTTTAAAAAAAAAATACATTTAAAAAGTAAAAAAGCCTCCCACATGCCCATATTGCTCATATAAGAGATTTTAACATTTTTAAAGATAAGACAAGCATGAATTAGTTTAAAAGATTTGTTCTTTTTCTTTCATTATGTAATCAGATAGGATCTCTCTCACATATTTTTATGAGGAAGCCACTCATATGAAATAGCTTCTTCTCATTGAATGGTCTCAGAAATGCTGCTGAGATAATCTTCAGACTTCGTTATAAAATTTGTCCACTCTTGACAAATGTCCTCCATGGAGAGTTCTTCACCACCATATTCCAGAGGAAGAATGTCAGGAAAATACTGAAGTAGGCTTTGTTTGTAATTGTTCCCATGCATGTGAATCTGAAATAGTCAAAATGTTTTAGAAGGTGTCCCCTCTGCCTCTCACTAATTAGATGCAATTCCAGGGGCAAAATTAATCTCATAAAATGAGATACTCTAATAACTTCCAAAGTAGTAGGGTATGTACTATTTCTATTATTTTGCTGGTGAATCTAAGATTTTTATTTATGTTTAGATTATGGTGCTGTAAATCTAATAATTGTATTACTTTCTTAGACTTGCATTCTCTTAACCTCAGAAGATAACAAAAATGTCCTACTTGGTATTAATTCAAATGGAAGCATACATCTGAGCCCACAGTTAGGTTCATGAAGAATGATTCATATGGTATTGTCAATGTGATACTCTTGGCTAGTTCAAAAGTAGGAAATTATGATGGTTGAGAACCTTTGATTTTCAAATATTTTAAACTTTAAAAGTTGATCATCCAGGGCTGAGGTTATGGCTCAGTGGTAGAGTGCTTGTCTAGCACATGTGAGGCCCTGGGTTCGATTCTCAGCACTGCATATAAATAAATGAAATAAAGGTCTATTGACAACTAAAAAAATACTAAAAGAAAAAAATTTTTTTAAACAAATTGATCATCGAATGGCCTGAAGTTAAGATAAACCTGTAGAAACTAAGAATACATGTTGCTAAAATAAATAAATAAATTTTCTCTTATTAAGGCAAAATGTTTATCTGTGCATTCAACAACCATTTAATAAGCATCAGGATATGAGGACCAATGAATGAAACGAGAATCCTACACTGAGGAGCCACACAACCTCAATTCTTGACTTTCTCTGAAATTTTAAAAATACTATCAGTTATCTGAGGAGAAATTCTGTCATATCAGGAAAGGAGAAATATGAAAAGTGGAGTATTGCTGAAAAATTGAAAGGGAAAAAAGTAAGATACACAGTGAGTTGTCTTGCTATCAACCCTATCCTCTTCTATGCTTGGCTACTACACCTCTATTCTATTCAATGTAGGTGAGAACTTATTTTCCTACATATCTTTTTAGTATAATTTTATACAAAAATAAGGACCTATTCTTATTCTCCCCCTTTTATTAAAAAAAAAGATAGCATATCATCAACACTCTTTTTCATTTTGTGCATTTCACTTTACAATACATCCTGTAAAACTTGTTGCATTCCTTAGTGTAAATGTATCATAGCTTTATTAAAAATCAGTTTCCTAATGATGAATACTTGGCAGTTTTCAATGTTTTACTGCAATGAATATTTCTATATAATTTGTTTATGTACAGACATATCTGAAGGATTAATTCCCAAAAGTGCTACTGTTGTGATTTAGATAACTGCAGTCACACTGCCCTCTACCGGGAATATATCATTTTGCAATCGAGCCAGGGATTTATGAGTGACCCAGTTTTCCCAAGGACTTATAATATCCTTTTAATTCACAAAAATAGTTGGTTTGATAAATAAATATTCAAAATATAGAACTAATGGAGAGGGTGGGTGTGGAGGGAGATAATAAATCGATCCTTAAATGAAAAAGGTTAGAATATTTGATGTAGAAAAATAGTTACTTGAATGTGTTTTACTCACTCGTTCCTTAATCTTTTCAGTCAGGAATGGTTTAATCATGGAAAAGACAGCATGAAAAATTACTGGCTCATTTATCAAATGGATGCCACGAACTTTCAATGGAAAGGAATCCTTTGGAAAATAAAGAAAAAAATCATCTTATTGAAACACAAATTAATATTGCAATTATGTTCCTAAGACAAGCCTCTTCTTTAAACACTTTCCAAATTTACAGCAGTACTTACGGTGTTATTTTGTTTCCAAAATTATTTATTCCAGCAACACAAAAGTCTAATTGATACTTCACTCTCACTAGATTAAGAAAAATCTTAAACAAGCATAGGCAAAATATTAAAATATTTAATAGTTTTCCTATAAAATACTTAACGCTTTTTCACTAGAAATCCCTTCTCCCCATCACACAGAGATATTTTCTTAGGGAACCAATGACTAATTTGGACAAATATAATTTAATTTTTTTGCCAACGTTTTTTTGAGAGGTAAGTAATCAAAAGTTCATAAAAATTGAAAAACATAACACACACTTTAGGTACTGATATACATCTTTAGCATCAAAGTAATATAGGCTTATTTAGAAGGTTTAAAAAGTTAAGAGTTGAAAGAAAAAAAACTCATCAATAGTTTCCCTATCTAAAAGTTATATGGTCAATACACAGACCTTTCTTCTTTCTTTTCTTCTTTTTTAATGCAAAGCTCTTTTTCATGTCTAGCTTTTAGAGACGTGTTATTAGTTTGTTTTTTTTTTCTTCCAGGTTCTTTTTATATGTATAATTTTACTTTAAATATAATTGCTAATAGGCTCCCTAAATAATTTGTATACTGTTATGTTTCATTGTTATAATATTTTTTCTGTGGTCATCATGCATTTTAATACTGTTATAATGATCCATCAAATGGATATACCACCATTTAAGTGACCATTTTCCTATTTCTGGACAAATAATATTTAAAAAATTTTCTTCTGGGCTGGGATTGTGGTTCAGCATGGGTGAGACCCAGGTTCAATTCTCAGTACCACATAAAAATAAAGGCATTGTGTTGTGTCCATCTACACCTAAAAAGTAAATATTTTTAAAAATCTATTAAAAATGATACTATTAAAAGGCTGGGGTGGGGCTGGGGATGTGGCTCAAGCGGTAGCGCGCTTGCCTAGCATGCGTGCAGCGCGGGTTCGATCCTCAGCACCACATACAAACAACGATGTTGTGTCCGCCAAAAACTGAAAAATAAATAATAAAAAATTCTCAAAAAAAAAAAAAAAAAAAAAAAAGGCTGGGGATGTGGCTCAAGGGGTAGCGTGTTTGTCTGGCATGCACGGGGAGCTAGGTTTGATCCTCAGCACCACATAAAAATAAAATAAAGATGTTGTGTCCACCGAAAACTAAAAAATAAATATTAAAAAATTCTCTCTCTCTCTCTCTCTCTAAAAAAATGATACTGTGGTAGTGCATGCCGTTATCTCAAGTCCTCATAAGGCTAAAGCAGGAAGATCACAAGTTCAAGGCCATTCTCAGCAACTTAATGAGACCCTGTCTCAAATTAAAAATAAAAACTAAAGGGCTGGGGATGTAGCTTAGTGGTAAAGTGCCCCTGAGTTCAATTCCTAGTACTATAAAAAAAAAAAAATGGTGCTGCAGTAACTATCTTTCTAGATAGGAGGAGAAGTAGTGGTTACAAACATGACCTGTACATACAGATTACCAGGACTGAATAAAGCTTACTTTACTTCACTGCTGACAAACTGTGTACCTGGGCATTGCTATGCCACTTCTTTAACCGAGTTTATTAATTTGTAAAATGGAGAAAATAATGATTTGATGTCATAGGCCCAGCATGTGCATTATGTGGTAGTGCATATGAAACAGCAAAGTACACGTCACATCATAAACTTAACTCTCTCTCTCTCTTTCTCTCTCTCTCTCTCTAAATATAAATAAATAAATAAATATATATATATATATATATGTATATATATATATATATACATATATATATATATATATATTCTTTTTACAGTGCTGGGTATTGAATCCAGGGCCTCACACATACTAGGCAAGCACTTTCCCACTGAGCTGCATCTCCAGCCCCAATAAACTATTATGATGGTATACAAAGCCCTTACTATATTTAAGATTGTTCTTTACCTAGAAGTAGAATTACTGGGTCAAAGACAATGACCATTTTTAAAACCTTTAAGAAAAAAGTCATATCAATTTATGCCTACACCAAGATTTATGTGACCTTTTATTGTATCATTGTTATAAACATTTTCCAGTCAGTTTTTAAATCTAGGGCAAGATTTTTACCACATTACTATCTAAATGTATAAATTCTGTGTTTACTGGTTTTGAACATTTATTTTCATGTTTTTTTAATATTTGGTATAAATAAATTTCACTTCCTGTTAGCATTATTGAATTATATGTATCATTTTTGAAATTTTATTTAAGCTTCTAATCAATACTCTAACAAAACTTAAAGCTAACATTTGGAAGTATGATACCTAAGAGTTAAAATAGTCACTTACAGTAAGTACAGCAGCAATCTTCTTGGCTACAGATGGGGTAATTTGAAACGCATGAGAAAATTGCCAACCTTCCAGATCAAATATAGCCTTGACTCCATTCCGTTGTGTTTCTACTTCCTGTACAATAAGCTCAGATGTAATTAGACTTACACGAAATACATCGTAAGCTGTAAAAACTTTTGGGTCCCATTGTGCTGGGAAAAAAAAAAAAAGAGGGTATCATATCTCAACATTGTATAAAGAACCAGAGAGATTTACAAAGGGAAACTCATTCTATGTACAAGGGATCATGAGTGTTGAATAACGTTAAATTAAGGACCAAGGTTATCTATCCGTTTCTTCCTCCCTCCTGAAATCCCTGGCAAAGAAAAGATTTTTAAAAGCATGGAAAAAAGAAAGAATTCTTGCAGGCTGGATTTGACTGTCAAAAGCAATCGTGACTTTACATGCAGGAGAGAGCTGTGTCTTAAGATGGGAACCCCTGTGGCTATGCTATAAGCTAGGAGATGTTGGAGAAGGGAAAACCCAGGGCCTGGATTCTGAGGAGCAGGTAGGGCCCCATAGTAACTGAAGAGGTTGCTATGAGAAAAGCAGGAGGAGCAGACAGACAAGTTAATCCTCTCAACTCTCAGTAAGAAGCAGCCCAAAGCAGAGGCATGTCCCTACAGGCCTAAGCAGGAAATGTGAGCTTGGGAAAGAAGTGTTGAGGAAATGACCAGCTAGATGCACACCCAGGTAACTGCCCATGCCCAGGGAAAACAAGGGGAACCTGTGTTGAAAACAGGAACTGACATTTCTTGTCCATATGTCTTACCCATTCCCTTGCATCCCTGAGACAGGCCACAGCAGGCAGAAATGACAATAATTGACTGGCAAGCAGGTAATTTAAAAAAAAAAAAAAAAGATATGCATCTGTCAAAAACTTTACATGTCTATGCAAAGAACAGATGAGCTGAACTCAGTAGATAAAGGCAACAAAGCTTGAGGTAAGGTTAAGAAAGGTAGAGACATTCAAAGAAACATAATACTACCAGGGAGAAGATGTTGAAAGCTATTATTCTAAGAACAGGCAAAGATTTTTTAAAATCAGGTGAGATCGGATGGAACAAATGACAGACAGAACCAGTAAGTGAACAGGGGTTTGGAAGATCTACTGGAGGAGTTTTCTTCAATTTGGTACACAAGTCAAGAGTTGATGAGTATGAATAAAAGTTAAACGATAATGCAGGTAAACCTAGAAATTTTAATATCCTGAGATATAGAAAGCAAATACAAAGAACATGAAACAACAGAATAGTAACCATGGAGAAATTTTCTTCCATAGCTGAAAAGTGATGTAAGTCTTCAGATTGAAGATTGAGGAAGGGCCTAAAAGAATGAATGAAAAATTATTCATAATGTGAAGTAATGGTAAAGCATTCAAAAAGCAAAGTTCCTGGTATGGGCAACTGGGTAGGATGGTGGTACCATTTATTGAGATAAAAGAGAAGCCTTTTGGGTGGAAGAGATCCTAAGTAGGAACACGTCAAAATGGTGATAGTGAGACATCCAAAAGTGTACAGCTAGAATAGGGAGCTAGTCACATGAACTGGATCCCCAGAGAGAAGATGGGGGTGAAGATACAAATCTGGGAGTTGTTACTTAGATGGCAATCTAAAAGAGAGATTGATTGTCTTACATCCAAGTTTTTCTCTGTTAAGGTAGAGATAAAGTATCATATAAAGCAGAGGCTAAGGCCAGTGTAAAAGGAATTTCAGAATTTGAAGAATGAGGTGAACCTTGGGAATCCAGTTCATAAAACCAGATCCCTATTCTGGCTGTATCCATTTGGATCTCTCACTGTAACAATTTCCTTTCCTTTCCTTTCCTTTCTTTTCTTTTTTTTTTTTTTTTTTTTTTTTTTTGCACCAAGTATTGAACCCAGGGGTGTTGAACCAATGAATACATCCTCAGCCCTTTTTTGTTTTTCCGAGGCAGGGTGTTGCTAAGTTGTTTAAACCCTTGCTAAGTTGCTGAAGCTGGCTTTGAACTCAGGATCCTCCTGCCTTAGCCTCTAGAGCCTCTGGGATAACAGGCATGCACCACTGCACCCCACTCACAGTCATCAGTTTGACATGTTCCTAATTATGGATCTTTTCTGCTCAAAATGCTTCTATTTTATCTCAATAAAAGGTGCCGGGTAGGCATGTGGCTCATTGGTAGAGTACTTGCCTGGCATTTGTGAGGCCTTGGATTCTGAAAACAACGAGGAGGAGAAGAGGAAGAGGAGAAAGGAGAAAAAGAAGAAGAAGAGACAGGAGCCACCAATTAGGCTGAAGGCATCAAAGAGGCCAAGGGAAAAGGATATTTTAAAAAAGAGGAAGTGTCTCATTGTGTTGGAAGCCAAGTAAAATAAGACTAAACATGTCCATGAGATTTGGTGAAAACGTCACTGATGTCTTTTTAGCAGATGTGGGAGTGAAACCAGAGCAGTATGGGCTAAGGAATGATTGGAAAGTGTGGATGGTGAACATCCTAGTTTAACAAGTCTGGCTTAGAATAGGAGAGGGAGCTGGGAAGAAAGGTGTCTGGGGCAGAGGCTGGGCAGGGGTGGGATAGAGGAGGACTTTTTGTATATTTTTAGAGGACTGAACCTTAACAGATTTAAGTATTGATTGGTAACATCTAGTAGCAACAAAAACCCTAAAGATCTAGAAAAAGAAAAGATAATCAGAAGGAGTCTTGGGAGGGTATAATGGGATTACTCTTGCTTTTAAAAACCCTCAGGTTCATGGTAAGCATTTGAAAAATAAATATGACTAAAAAAATACTATACTCCTTCAGACACTGGGTGATGAGCCAAATGAAGTTTACAGATCAAAATATTTTCATGACCTAARTTTCTGAGTCAACTAACTTAATAGTCTGAGCCAATGTCAAGTTGGCTCAGTAGCCACAGATGGATGGTGGCTACTATAAAATAATTTCATCATCATAGAAAGTTTGACGAGATAGTGCTGGCTAGTCTTTAAGAAGAACTTATGACCAAAAGAGCATGTTTTCTTTCTCACTACCAAAATGTCATTTTTACTTTTTATTTTGCCCAAGTGGCTCCTAAACAGAGAGGGGGTAGGGACAAGAGAGAGAGAGAGAGAGAGAGAATTCAGTCAGGCACTGCAGAGCCCAAAACCTTGCTATGAATTTCAGTTTTATGTTCCTGGGAACTCTTAATAGATTTGCCAGATAAAATATAGAACACACAGTTAAAGCTGAATTTATGATAAATATGATATAATTATTTAGCACAACTATGCCCCATGCATACCTCAAAAATATTCTTTATCTGAAATTCAAATATGACTGGGCACCCTATATTCTTATAATATGTAGGTTTCTTTGCTAAATAAAACACGAACACTGGCAACCCTATCCCTGAGGAGTTCAAGGAACTTATGACTGACAAATCATTCAATAGCCTCTGGCACTAGAGGAGACATGAAAGAACAGAAAGGTCATTTTAATGTCTGCTTTATAGATAATGGCTTAACGATTAACTCAGTTTTTTTTTTTTTTTTGACAAACAAGCTGGGACAAAAAATAAATAAAAAGAAAACAGAATAACTCTATTAGACCATCTGATACCCTTTCAAGAATTAAATATAATATCTTTTTGCCAGATACCAAGCTTTCTTTTAGGCAAGTATCTTATCTCTAAGCGGGCTGAAAATATAAATACATAAAGTTGAATTCTTTAAAGATTTAAAAGTTAGCTGGATATCATAGCAGACTTCTCTAGTCCCAGCTACTCTGGCAGGCTGAGGCAGGGGGATGATGGAACCCCTGGGGTTCAAGGCTAGCCCAGAGAGCCCAGAAAGACCCTATCTCAAAAAAGAAAGAAAAAAGGATGAAACTTCTATAAGATGATAATTCATAAAATGCAGCTCACAAAAAGTTGGTTTTATTTGTCCTTTCAACTGAGCCATAGAGTTCCCTTTCACTTGGCTTTTAAAATCATACACAGAACTAAACAGGCAACAGAAGTTGTAGGTCACCAAATGCTGTAGTCTGAATGTCTATATCCCCCCACAAAAAAATTTATATTGAAATCCTAACTCCCAAGGTCATGATATTAGTGGGGAAGTCTTTGGGAAGTGATCAGGTCATGAAGATAAGAGACTTCAAAAATGGAATTAGTGCCCTTATGAAAAGAGGCCCAAGAGAGACCTTTGCTCACTGATGTGAGGTTAGAGTGAGAAAATGTCTATGAACCAGAACACAAGGTCTCATCAGAACCAAAACTGCTGGTGCCTTGATTTTGGACTTCTTAGCCTTTACRACTGTAAGAAATAACTTTCTATTTTTTAATCCACATAGTCTATGACAGTTTGTTGTGGCAGCCTGAATGGATAAAGCACCCACTCACAAAACACTAGGAATGCCTAATAATGAAAAAGAGAAAATGTGAAAAGAAAAAGGTGCTAATGGAATAAAGTGTCTGCAACAATTCCCAGGGGTTCTTGGTCCCTACTCTGTACCTTCCTCCATGCAGAGAAATGAGTCCCTTGCTCCTCAGCCCTGGGCATTATTGAACTGGTCATTCACTCACTCATTCCACAAATATTTAATGAGCACTTTCCATGTACCAGGCCCTATGCTCAGTGCTTGGGACACAGCAATGAACATAAGAGACAAAATCTATGAATACATGGGGCTTATATCTTATAGTTCAGAATTCTTTTTTTTTCTTTTTATTTCCTACTAAACATTTTTTTGAACACTTTATCTTGAGTGCTTTCACTTTTTCCCACTATTGCTCTTCCCATTTTTCTTTTATTTTAGACAGTTGACTGTTTGGAAAAGTACAAGTAGGATTTTCGCCAAATTCTGTTAATTTCCTCAAAACTGCCAACATTTTCTTATATTTGGTAAATGTTAAGACCTAAAGTACACTAAGGTTGAAACCTAAAAACATAAATTGAAACCTAAATTCTTAAACATAGACACTAAAACATTCTATTCGGCAATCAATGAAAAATATGAGGAGAGAGTAGGTGGAGGAGGAGAAGGAAGGTAGGGGAGAACAAGAGTTGTGTGTGACTCACCAATTCTGTAAATAAGAACTTTGCTGCCAGTGGGATCCCTGGATCTCAGAACTCCATGGTAGCCAGCCTTCAAAAGGCCAAGGATACTTCCAGGATGGAGATCTGCGCTTAGTTCTGGACATTCTGCTCTCCATTTATAATAGTTTTTTAGTAACTGAAAAATAAAATTAAAACTGTCCACATATTGTACACCTGGTAAGCATTTTGTGAAAACAATAGGAAAACCTTGACATTATATGAACCTTGACATCCATTAAATCCATTATATTTGAATTTTAATCTGGGGTATCTTTTTAGCTGAGCATGACAGAATCCCTCTATAGAGCCCAAGTTCCCATCATCAAGGGTCTAAGGTAACAGGAGTTTTTCATCAAGTAATTTTCAGTCTAGTAATTTTCAGTTGCCACCTAGAGTCCAAAGTATCTAAAGTCAGCTATCCATTATGTAAAAATGTGGATGTGTAACTGAAGTGATTCTGCAATCTGTATTTGGGGTAAAAATGGGAGTTCATAACCCACTTGAATCTAATGTATGAAATATGATATGTCAAGAGCTTTGTAATGTTTTGAACAACCAATAAAAAAAAATAAATAAAGTCAGCTATCAACACGTCTTCCCCTACTGGTATATACATGCATTCCTTCTGGCAGGCAGTGGGATCCATTTGGTTTCCTCCACCTGTGTGTGAGTTGGCCTTACACTTTACTTGGACCAATAGAAATTGATGGAAATGACACTGAACCAAGTCTTAAAAGCCCTGGAACCTTCTGAATTTGTTGTTTTGTTTTGTTTTTGAGACTCAGACACCATGTAAGATTGTTGAATGAAAACAATTCACCTAGAGAGAAGCCCTGGAGGTTGAGAGGTCATCCTGGTTAGGCTCATTGAACCAAGATCCCATCTGGTGTCATGTTCAGCAGAGATGAAGCATCCCCACTGAGCCCTGCCCAAACTAGAGAACACAAATAAATAGTTGTGCTTTAAGGCAAGAAGTTTGGGATGTTTTATTACTCAGCAGAAGATAACTGAAATACCACTTTAGTATTTTTTTAATAGGAATAGAAATCAATCAACTGAATTAGAAGAGCCCAAGGAACAGTACACCTGGCTAAAAAAATCTTGGCAAAACATGTTTTTAAGGAATCCTACATTCTTTCCACCCCACCACCTGCCACCCCAAAATAAACACCAGAGATGGCCAATCAACAAATGCACTGTAAAGAATACTAAAGCAAAGGATATATTTAAAAATTATAATATTTTAATTTTCCTCTTTATGATTTTCATCCTTCTCAATTTTTCTAAAATAACAGTATTTTATTTTCAGTTTAAAGACACCTATTAGTAATGTGGAATCACAGTTAAGGCAAAAAGGAAAAGACAGATTTTATATTTGAAATGCATTAGAATAAAGATGGTAATCACAAAAAAAAGCAGTAATGATCTGGAAGAGAAACTACAAATAATACAGAAAGTAGAGGTAAAAATTGTGAGCCCTGTAAAGTGTCCCTGGCTGGGAATGGCTGGGGGAGAGAGAGAGGCTAGCTGGGCGAGAGAGGAGGAGCATCTCTGTGTCTTAAGTCATCAGCATCACCCGGCCCGCCTCCTCTGATCTTGTCTCCCTCTCTCTGTGTCTCTCTCCCTCTTTTTCATCTCCACATTTAATAAACTCTTCTTAACTTTAAAAGAGAAAAAGAGAGAAGATTGCTGAGAGCTAAGTGCAACAGAGAAGTAAGGGAAAAAAAAGTCAGTCAGTGTGCCAACCAAGAAATAATTGGTGACCTAAATATCAGTTTACAAAAGTAGTAAGAACAACAGGCACATTGTAGGTTCTGGTATGCTCATTCTGTTCTAGGAGATGAATTTTCCTTCTTCCTCCTGTCCTCAGGAGCATCAGAATAGGTATCTACAGCAATTTACAATGCTCATTACTTTTTGAGAGTTTCCTCAAACATACAAGCGGGTCTTTCAATTCTGATTCAAGCAAAATGCTAGAAACAGAATATTAGTAGCTATATAGAAATAATGCCTTTATTTCCTGATGAATGATAAAAGTTGTGGCTTTGTTAGAAAGGAACTTTTAGGTAATAGGGGCAGGGTGGTCAGCTTATTGGTCTCTGCAGATAGCTGGCTTCYAGGGGATAGAAATATGTCTTGAACAAAAGAATGAATCAATGCATGAATAAATCATGTCCACACACTTGAATAACTAAGATCTGTAAAGATGCACAAATCACATTCATTCCTCTGACACTTAACTTTTGCAAAGTGGAACATCAAAATCCAAACCTTTAATTATTATTCTTCTACTGATAAATAAATTCACAGGTCCAATTAGTGCAAATATTTTACATAAATGCCAAAAATGAACTATTACTGAGCAGTTCTCAAACTACTTTGTGTCCACAATAACAAAAATATGGCTGCAAATGAATATTCATTATTGGAGCATGCATGTTTTGTAAAAAAAATATATAAATAAAAAATAGAAGTGAAAAATATTTACAGTGTTATGTTTTAACTATGCTTTATCATAAAGAGTCCTCTTATATTTTTCATGTATTTTCAAACAAAATAATTGTCTTTGTGCCACTCTTACAGGGCCTAATGAAGTAATTGCAAGTCCTCCTACAACTACCTTGAAAGGTAACTTTGAGAAGTTACTGGATTAACTAAGGTCATCAGAGTGGAACCCCCATGGTTGAATACTAATGGCTTTATCAGAGTGGGGAGACCCTGGCTACTCCAGATGCTGAGACAGGAGGATTCCAAGTTCAAGGCCAACCTTGGGAACTTAGACCATTAGATGGATAAGACAAGTAAAGCTCTGAGAAATTATACATTCATTTAAARATTATAACTCTCAGTACCATAGTAGAGACTGAAATTGACATGTGATCTGGTAAGTTTCAAAAAAGAAATTACATTTAGAGGGAAATTAGCACTGAGAATCCATGGAATTTTGAAAGTTTTAAAATCTTTGGGTAAACTATGAAAATAACTAAAGGATTTTAAAAATCCCATGTCTTAGTTTTCTGTTGGTAATAACAATAACAGACTAGGTAAGTGATAAAAAATAAGTGGGGGGATTTATTTTGGCTCATAGTTCTGATCCAAGGTCCTAGGGCCACATTTTCTGATGGCCTTCTAGATGACAGAGTCCCAAGGTGGCACAGGACATCAGATGTCAAGAGATAACAAGTGTGTGTGCACTGTGGTCTCTCTCCCTCTTGCTGCTGCTACTGGTTCCTCCTCTTCCCTTCTCCTCCTCCTCCTGCTCCTCTTCCTCTTCCTCCTTTTCTTCTTCTTAACTAGAATTGAATCCAGGATCATTCGATATCTAAGCTACATCCCAGTCCTCCTTTTAGTTTATTTTGAGATAAGATCTGCCTAAATTGCCGAGATTGGCCTCTAATTTGAAATCCTCCTGTCAAGGCCTCTGGAGTAATATTTATTATTCTTTTTTTTAGTTTTTGGCGGGCACAACATCCCTGTTTGTTTGTGGTGCTGAGGTGAGCACATGCCAGGTGAGCGCGCTACCACTTGAGCCACATCCCCAGCCCTGTCCTGCACTTCTTATAAGCCATCAGTATTCTGTTGTGGGGACCCCCCCCCCAATGAAATCTCAATCACTTCCCAAAGGCCTTACCTCCAAACACCATACTCTGATTAAGTTCCTCACAATAGGGTTTAAATTCCAATACAAGTTTTAGAGGGCACAAACTTTACTCAAGCTATAACAGCAGAAATAAAAAATAGAAAGAACTGGACTATTCACTTGTAAAAGACAGAAATTCGTAAGGATCTATAAGACAGAAGAACTGAGGATATTTTTTTTTCATTGTTTTAAACCAAAAGGACTAGTGCATATATCTGATAGCATAGGCCCTCCTGAGTTCTACCCAACTTCAAATCTCTGCTCCACTTAGTCGGTACATGATTTTTGACAATTTAGTTACTTTTTATACCTCAATTTCTTCTAACATGAAAAAATAATGCAAATACTTCTTTAAAATGTACCAAACATTTCACAAGCATATTAGTTAGCTATGAGGATTACAAGACCTTATTAATTCATTATAACTTCAAATACAAATGCTAGAATAATGAGAAGTTTCATCATAACCAGTGCTCTTCTCAAGATTTCTTCCTACAAAAACTGTAGGGCTTATATATTATGAATATGGAGTTTGAGTTAAATTAACTGCCACTGTGGAGGAAAATTAAAAGCCAGTTTCACATTTTTACTCTTTCCTCTTTCCTTTCCAGTTGGCAGAAAAGTTAAGACAAAGAGGTCACAGACAGAAACTTGATTAGTGTCCAGTGAATTTGGACATAGTCCTGCTAGCCAGTTCTTCAAGGGCACAGTGTAATAAAAACCATTCAGTGAAATGAGGAAGACAGAAGAATATCTAAGTCACAGAGGATGAAGTTGAATTTTACTTCTTTTTCTACTTAGACATTACTTCTTAAAAAAACAGCAAAATTAAAAATCAGCCAACACACCATTTTATTATTCGTTATCTCCATACATATATGTACAATACCTCATTTAAACTGCACTTCTCACAAAACTAAAATTAAATCTTCATTTTCAGTTGGTTATGAGTACACATTAGCTTATTACTCAGGATGTCAGGACACTTGCATAAGCATTGAACTTCATGAAAATAAAGAAAACTGTATTCTTACTTTAGTCCTAACATCAAAATAAATCTCAATATATCAACCACGCTGACATAGAAAAAGAGAAGCCATCATTTCTCGGGAAAATTCTGGATTGAAGAGTTTCTAAAACCCAAATGTTGAGGGTGTAGCTCTGTGGTAGAGCAGGTGCTCAGCATTCATGAGGCCCTGCCTGGGTTCAACTGCCAGCATCAAAAGCAAGAACAAAGAGCAATCAAAAAACAATSAATCAATACATTTGATCACAATAAAAAAAATTAAAGTCTTTCTGAAAGAAAATAGCATAGTGATGTCAAGCTAGGACAAAGAACTATTTTATTTGATACACAGATACTTTGATATACAGATATGAATCAGTAAGATATAAAAATGAACAAATGGCAAACAGGCAATTAAAGTAAAAAATAATTTTTAAAGGTTAGCTATATTAAAGATTACCCTCAGGGCTGGGGATGTAGCTCAGTTGGTAGAGTGCTTGCCTTGCATGACAAGGCCCTGGGTTCAATCCCTAGCACCACACACACACAAAAAAAATTACCCTCAGAGTGCATGCATATTGTTATAACCATGACAAGCCATTTCTCAGCCAGTCATGGAAGTACACACCTGTAATGTCAGCTACTCCAGAGTCTCTTAATACAAGGCCAGCCTCAACAATTCAGCAAGACCTATCTCAAAATAAAGTTTTTTAAAAGACAGAATGGGAATATCACTCAGTGGTAAGGCACTTGCTTTTATGTGTGAGGTCCTAGGTTCAACCCTCGATGCCACAAACAAACAAAATCTCACTATGTAATATGAAAGTGATAAAATTAGTGCAAACCCTCTGGAAAGCCATTTGTGATATTCCTCAAGACTGAAAAAAATGTACTTCTTATTCCATCCAGCAATTTCCCCACCTAAATTTATTCAATAAGGGTGTGTCCCTATTTATGCACCAGAGGAAGCATGAAGATATACCAGATGCACCATTGATGATGGAAGAAACCACAGAAACCTTGCTTATTGCATCTTGTGTACTCTAGGCAAACAGTTAAGAGTCCAAAAAAGAGAATCACTGAAAGACTGATCAGCGTGCAAGGCAGCACTGGCATCAGTTGGTAAAATCCCATCCGAAAGCAGAGGACTAGTTAATATATAATATACCCATTTTATGGCATAACAGCAGCTCCAAAATAAGCAAGATGTATGTGTACATGGTCATATGAGACGACTCCCTTGATAAGTCAGGTAAGAAAGGCAGAACACGCATGCACCTGCTTATGTGAATATAGGCATGGCTGAAAAGGTAAACAGACAGATGACAGACATGGTCCCTGGGTATTGAGGGTAAAGAAGTTTTTTCCTTCAGAAAGTTACTTTTAAAAACTTGTTTTGCAAAATAAATAAATAAATAAATAAATTTTAAAAAAACTTGTTTTGCACTTTTTGCTATTTTGTATTATCTGCAGTATTTTCACTATTTACTTTTTCAATAAAATTTTTTACTTAAAACAAGGGAAAGAAAAAAAAAAAACCTCAATGAAGCACATTTAAATTCTGTTCTAGGACTGACTTCCCTGTTCCCCACGTGCAGAATGACATTGAGCAAGGCACTCAGAAAATGGGCTAGATCCCATCCAATTCCTTAGTGCTTACCATGTGCCTGGCACTGTACTGGGCACATCTTGTTCTAACCGTTTAACTGATTAATGTTCAATCCTCACAATCAATCAACAAGATAAGGGTTCTCACCGTTATTTAACAGATAAAGGACAATGAACCCCAAGTAATAAATTCAAGGTCGCATCTCTGATTTCGGTCTTTTCACCACCCTTTCTCTCAAACTGGTGTAACACACTTGGAAACATAAAAGAACCGCCCCGTCGTTACCCTGGGTTCAAAAATACACCGGGCTGCTTTACTGTCTTGACATTTAAATATTACTATTAATAATACTAGTTTGCTAGGGTATGGCTTCGGATCTTCAATTTTACCGGCAATATCATTTTCCTCGCCACACGTAGTTTTCTGCTCAGATGTGACAAGTCTTGAGATACCTGCTTCTACTTTCATATCACAGGATTTCTCGCGGGGAGAGGAAGGCATAAAGTTTCCCCTAAAACTTGACGGGCTCGGGAGACATATCTAGGTCGAATTCCAGTGCTTGCCATGACCCGCGAGGGCTCCAACACTTTTTAAGTTTCCCTCTTTCCACTAACTTCAAAGAACTGGAGGGACCTGAGTGCGATTTCTTGGAAGACCTACAGCCGCAGGGAGCGCCCACGCTTGGTGCGTAAAGGATCCTGTGCGTCCTGCCTGCAGCCGGAGCGTCCGCAGGGATCCAGGTGAAGTCACTGACGCCCAGCCCGGCTGGCCAGGCGCAGCGCAGCACTTACCCGCCAGGCCAGGTCCAGGTCAAAATCCCGGGCGCGCAGGAATCGAAGTAGAAAGGAATCGGTGAGCGGCAGCGGCGCGAACCAGGTGCCCTCCTCCCGGGCTCGGCGCCGCAGCTCCGCCAGGCTGGGCTGCAGCAGCGGCGAGTGGTCCGGCAGCGCGCTGAGCTGCAGCCCGGTTGGCAGCCCCGACCTCATCTCTGCCATGCCAGTGGCGGCCACCGCCGCTGCCAGGGCGGCGGGGGGAAAAAGCGCCGGCCCCGCGCCACTCTCAGCCCCTCCTCTGTTGGCCGCTGCCCAGCGCACACCCACCCGTGCACAACCCTCCTAGGGCCTTGCCACCAGGCCCGTGGGAGGGTGAGAGATGCCTCTTAAAGGAATCCCAGTAGTGTCCCCGTGCGGGCTCAACAGGTCTTTAGTAGTTTGAAGTAGTAATTGGAGCCCTTCCTCCTGAGGGAAATCACTGGTGTGTTCAAAGTCAAGAGCATGCTGTCCAAAAGTTACTTGGAAGGTTTAAAAAAAATCACCAGTCAGAGGACCTTTTGTTCTCCTCCCTCCCTCTTTTTCATTCCTTCCTCCCTGGAATCTTGCAGCTGGAAAGAGTCTTAGAACAACCGATTTAAGGGCCCTGCCGCTCCTGAGCCCTAGTCTTTCCATATGGCGCCTGAAACCGTACTACAACATTGTTTCAAAAATGCAGTTCCACAAAGCCACCATAACAGGCTCCTCCCCTTTCTTCCCTCCCAGTCCAGGGAAACCCTTCTGAGTTCTTGGCACCTGGCCCTGCTAGTGTCATATACAAATAAATGCCTAGCAAATGGGGAGAATTTTTTTTTTAACGCCATAAACCTATTCTGTTAAACTCCACAACCACTCACCTGCAAGTACCTCTGCAGTTGTACTAGTCTGTCCAGTAGCCTAATATGATAGAATCTATGGGATCTTAGGTAAGGAGCAGGAGGCCTGGAACTGAGGCAGAAATCTGAGCAGTTGTTTTTAACAGGCCTTTTCTTGATTTCTGTCTGCTTAAAACTACCCAGGAATTGGCTTGTCTTCCCAATAGGGTATTCATAAAACTAAGTCTTTTTTTTTTTTTTTGGTAGTTTTAGATGGACAGAATGCCTTTATTTTATTTGTTTATTTTTATGTGGTGCTGAGGATGGAACCCAGTTCCTCATGCATGCTAKGGAAGTGCTCTGTCCCTGGGGCTACAGCCTCCGCCCCAATTCTTATTGAATGTACAGTATGGACAGGAAAATGCTAGATTTGCAAAAACAAAATCAAATCCTTGCCTTTGAGGAGTTCAGAGGATGGTGATGGAAACTGACTTTTCATTCACTAAAGAAAAACCTAGGCTGGGGGCTGCATTTATGGCTCAGCTGTAGAGCAAATCACCTAGCACGTGGGAGGCCCTGGGTTCAATCCTCAGCCCCACRTATAACAAACAAACAAATAAATAAATAAAGGTATTTTTAAAAGAAAAGAAAAAAAAAGATAGACCTAGGCCCACTGTGGGTGCTGGTGACACTCCTGTGAACAAAACACACAAAACTCTTGCCTTGGGGAGTTTTGTTCTTGTGGGGGAGTGGGAGAGAATAAAGAAGGTAAGTCAGTAAAGATGGTATAAAGATGGCAATACATGCAGAACAGAAACCAACTGAAGCAGGAAATTAAGTGTCTTCAGTTATCAAACAACTGAGAGAAGGAGGGTATCTGGGATTGAAGGGCTACAGGCTTTGTCTTGGATTCTGCGGGAGGAGATGGAATGTCAGTAAAGGAGGTAATCAGAAGCCAGCGAATAAGCTAGCATAAATGAAGATGGGGATTCCAAGCTTTGGTTTATACTTGGAATGAGAGGAAGTTAATAAAGTAAAGGTTGATAAGTCAATGTGAATAGTGTATGAAAGAATTCTCACTCTGTGGGAGCACAGAGGAAAACCACCTGACTCCCTAGCAGCTTGGCCTGGGGGATGCATTGGGAGCATTTGCTAGGTGAAAGAGAAGGGGAGGATAGGAAGAAAAGTACCATTTGGAACTCTAAATGATTAACAAGACAAGAGAAGCCAGTCTTCTCAAGCAGTTTTAAGTGTTTAAAAGTAATACTGAGGAGAGTTCATATAGCATGATTCCTTCTCTTAAAGAAAAAGTTGTTTGGGTTTTTTTTCCAAAAACAACCTCTAACTTGCTTTTAGTCATAGCATCTTCTTCTGGGAATTTGGGTAGAAATTTCAGTAAGATATATCAAAGGCATTATCTAATTAAGTATCCTTTTTAAAAAGTATACCATAATGTGAATGTGAAATCCAAAGTTGTTATTTATGCACAAAAAATGTCAATTGATTGTCACTAAACGTGTTAAAACTAGAGCAACTTGAGTCTAGATGGTTGTGACAGGTGACTTCTAAATACCACAGAAAGAAATGGCAGTGGAAATAGTAGAGACTTATTATTACAATGTGAAGTAATTTCAATGTTGGCAGGTAGTCCACTTGTAAAAAAAAAAAAAAAAAAACAAAGAAAAGAAAAGAAAAGAAAAAAAGAGTACATCATTAAGGGAAAAAAAATAGAAAAAAATGGAGAAATGGTGGCATAGACATACAAGGTGGTACTTCTACATTTAAAGTTGATTACTTCTAGTAAATGATGAAGATGTGCTGTCTTTTGACAATGTTTCTTAAATATATATATATAAAAAAACCTTGAATTCTTGAAATAAATTTTCAAAAGATGCTACTCCAGTTCTGTTTTGAAGTGTTTTGAAATTTGTTATGTTCATGTTATACACTGTAAGGACTCACACTTAGTGAAAATACATACAGGCCATGGTATAAAGATTYCAAAGGGTAGGTGTAGAGGCCTACACCTATAATTCCAATGGTGGGAGTATCCCAAGTTCAAGGCCAGAATGGACAACTTAGTGAGATTGTGTCTCAAAATAAAAATAAAAAAGGGCTGCGGTATAATTCAGTAATAGAGTGCCCCTGGGTTCAATAGCTAGTATCACACACACACAAAAAGAAAATAAACAATTCCAAAGGGGTTTCTGGAACTAATGGTATTAGTCAGGGTTCTCTAGAGGAATAGAACCAATGGAATGTACATAAAAGAGGCAGTTTATTAGACTGGTCTACCCAGACAGAGGCTGGATGGTCCCACAATGGCCATCTATGGTCTGCAGAGCTAAGGAAACTGGAAGATGCTCACTCCACAAAACAGAAGCCACAGAAAAAGAGGGACAAATGATGTAGACCCAGTCCAAAGTTAAATGCCATAAAGCTTCCTGGAGAATCACTGGTGTGAGTCTGAGTTCAAAAGCTGAAGAATTGGTAATTTGATGTCTGAAGTTGATAGCAGCAGCGAAAAACATATCCACTCAAGAAGAATCAAGCTTGCATGAGATTTATCCTCTTGCATTTTTTGTTCCATCTGAGCCTCCAGGTTATTGGAGAGTGCTACCCACATTCAGGTTTAAGTTCATTAACCCACATGCCAATCATCTCTGGAAATACCCCTTACAGACACACCCAAAAGAGTACTTCACCAGTTTTTGAGTCAGTTCAGTCAAACCAACAACCAAGATTAACCATCCGAAATTTTATCAAGAAATAAAAGCAAAAATGTAAGGAAAAATTAGTTCAAAATATTTGCAAGTAGCTTACAAGTGTCTCTAAAATTATTTAATGAATTATTCATCCACACATAATAATTTATAACAATCAATTTATTTTGCTTTCAGATCCCTAGAAAAGACATAGATAAATATTTATTTATAAAAGATAACATTTTCAAAAAATAGTRAAATTATGAACATGTGTTAAAGATTTTGTTTCATTAATAAGGAGGAAACCATGTAGGTGTTATGCCAACTTCAAAGAAGAAATTTTTAAAAGTACACATTTATATGGGGCAAAGAATGTTGAAATGAATGTGCCAATGGAAACAAAATGAACTACTCCCCCAGTGAGAGAGGAAGATCTGCCCAAGCAGGACAGAATTTGCATGTTCTTAAACAGGAATTATTTGCCCCCTTGCCACCAGTTATCTACAATTTGTAGAGTTGTGAAATAACTTGATTAGAATCACAATCTAATAACCCCAGAAGTGTCATCTAGTGTCTACATAATGCATAATTTTCTACTGAAACACAAGTTTTACCCTATATCCCTTGGGGAACCTTATTTTAAATTTTTAAAAAAATATATTTATCATGAAAATGTTCAACATAGGTAGAAAGAATAATAACAAATACCAGTGTACAGCCTGCTTCAGCAACGAATGCTATTTTGCCAATCTCATCTCTCTCTCCTACTTTTTTGTTTTTCCTTCTAAAACTTTATTAGTGCACTACAGTTATATGTAAAAGTGGGATTTGTTGTTACACATTTATACATGAATAATACATGCATATAATACAATATTATTTGATCAATTTTTTCACCAGAACTTCCTCTTTCCCTCCCCTTGATTTCCTCTTCTACTGTACTGGCCTCCCTTCAATTTTCATGAGACTACTTTTTTAAAAAGTTGAAATATTTTAAAGAAATAGCATAGAGCTTATAATTTTTCTGGTAAATACAACAAAAATGCACTTTTAATTGTTTTGGTAAACAATGAGGATTATCACTAAAAAAAAACCCCTTTTCTATACTTTAGAAAAATGTAAGTTTTCTAATATCATCTAGTACCCAGGTTATATTGATATACCTCTACTTGTCTAAAAAATATCTCTTAAATTATTTAAGAAGTAAGAACCACCTAAAGTGCAAAAATAACTGAAAACAGGAGCAGACCTCACAGATCAGCAACCCCTTTTATTCAACAGTGGAGTCAACTGGTCAGGCATTGGAGGGGCTCAGTAGAAAATGGCTCTGGGTTATAAGAGCAGTCTGTGCTTCTATAGGTTACAATGAGTGGTGACTTAATCATTGGAGACTTTGGCAAGATGTGCCAGTTTGGGCAGTCAGGAARAGGTTGTAAAATTTTTGAAACTCATTATTTCTGGGAAAGGATGGAGGGTCCAGAGTTCAACACTTAGTGCTTATCTTTCTCCTTTGGGATCATTGTATTGTCACTTGGACAGGATTAATGTGTGGCTTCATTGTCACTGGGAAAGGATTTATTGGGGAAGGATCAATGGTTTGCCTTCTTCCTCCCTCCCTCTTCCTGGGTCACACTGTATTGGGGATTGTCATCTTCCATATTCTTCAGTC